CAGAAGGGTATAACTGTACAGGTGGATATAATGAATGAATGAATATACATCAGGGTATAACTGTACATGTGGATGTATACAGCAGGGTATAACTGTACAGGTGGATGTATACAGCAGGGTATAACTGTACATGTGGATCTATACAGCAGGGTATAACTGTACAGATGGATGTATACAGCAGGGTATAACTGTACCTGTGGATGCATACAGCAGGATATAACTGTACATGTGGATGTAAACAGCAGGGTATAACTGTAGATGTGGATGTATACAGCAGTGTTTAACTGTACAGGTGGATGTATACAACAGGGTATAACTGTAGAGTGGTATAACTGTACAGGTGGATGTATACAGCAAGTATAACTGTACAGGTGGATGTATACAGCAGGTATAACTGTACAGGTGGATGTATACAGCAGGGTATAACTGTACATGTGGATGTATACAGCAGGTATAACTGTAGATGTGGATGTATACAGCAGGGTATAACTGTACATGTGGATGTATACAGCAGGGTATAACTGTACATGTGAATGTATACAGCAGGGTATAACTGTACATGTGGATGTATACAGCAGTGTTTAACTCTACAGGTGAATGTATACAACAGGGTGTAACTGTACAGGTGGGTGTATACAGCAGTGTTTAACTGTACAGGTGGATGTATACAACAGGGTGTAACTGTACATGTGGATGTATACAGCAGGATATAACTGTACATGTGGATGTATACTGCAGGGTATAACTGTATCTGTGGATGTATACAGCATGTATAACTGTACATGTGGATGTATACAGCAGGGTATAACTGTACCTGTGGATGTATACAGCATGTATAACTGTACATGTGGATGTATACAGCAGGGTATAACTGTACCTGTGGATGTATACAGCAGGTATAACTGTACATGTGGATGTATACAGCAGTGTTTAACTGTACAGGTGGATGTATACAGCAGTGTTTAACTGTACATTTGGATGTATACAACAGGGTGTAACTGTACATGTGGATGTATACAGCAGTGTTTAACTGTACAGGTGGATGTATACAGCAGAGTTTAACTGTACAGGTGATGTATACAGAAGGGTATAACTGTACAGGTGGATGTATACAGAAGGGTATAACTGTACAGGTGGATGTATACAGAAGTGTTTAACTGTACATGTGGATGTATACAACAGGGTGTAACTGTACAGGTGGATGTATACAGCAGTGTTTAACTGTACAGGTGGATGTATACAGCAGAGTTTAACTGTACAGGTGGATGTATACAGAAGGGTATAACTGTACAGGTGGATGTATACAGAAGGGTATAACTGTACAGGTGGATGTATACAGCAGTGTTTAACTGTACAGGTGGATGTATACAGCAGAGTTTAACTGTACAGGTGGATGTATACAGCAGAGTTTAACTGTGCATGTAGATGTATACGAAAGGGTATAATATAAGTTGTTCACCGGTCACAAGAGGGGCATGGGTTGTTATCTTACCTCACACATAAATGTCGCTTTCTGATTGGCTGAGCGCTCTTCTATTATTTTCAATGTACCCCGCTGTCAGTGGCAACTCATTTGGTGCTTCATGGTAGTAATTCTTTATCTCGAATAACATTGAATCACGTATGATGTATGGAAATTACCAATGTTTTGCGAATGCAAATCGATGGAAGGGAGATAACTCTAAATCTGTTTTCCTTGTCAGCAAAATCTAGCGATGGCTACAAAAAGATGTATGTACTTTATGTGTGAGGTAAGATAAAATACAAGATAATATGATCTTGGTTTGGTCAGCTATAACAACAACTGGTATATTTACAACAGATATTGACGAGTGCGGAAATGGCCAGTGCAGTAACCCTTCTCAGTGTAAGAACAATGTTGGTTCCTTCATCTGCTGTGAGCCTGGATACCGCCTGGAGGGAGAGTCATGCGTAGGTAGGTATACAGTGTATATATATACAGTGCAGTAACCCTTCTCAGTGTAAGAACACGATTGGGGTGCTTCATCTGCTGTGAGCCTGGATACCGCCTGGAGGGAGAGTCATGTGTAGGTAGGTATACAGTGTATGTATATACAGCGCAGTAACCCTTCTCAGTGTAAGAACACGATGGGGTGCTTCATCTGCTGTGAGCCTGGATACCGCCTGGAGGGAGAGTCATGTGTAGGTAGGTATACAGTGTATATACAGTGCAGTAACCCTTCTCAGTGTAAGAACACGATGGGGTGCTTCATCTGCTGTGAGCCTGGATACCGCCTGGAGGGAGAGTCATGTGTAGGTAGGTATACAGTGTATATATATACAGTGCAGTAACCCTTCTCAGTGTAAGAACACGATGGGGTGCTTCATCTGCTGTGAGCCTGGATACCGCCTGGAGGGAGAGTCATGTGTAGGTAGGTATACAGTGTATATATATACAGTGCAGTAACCCTTCTCAGTGTAAGAACACGATGGGGTGCTTCATCTGCTGTGAGCCTGGATACCTGCCTGGAGGGAGAGTCATGTGTAGGTAGGTATACAGTGTATATATATACAGTGCAGTAACCCTTCTCAGTGTAAGAACACGATGGGGTGCTTCATCCGCTGTGAGCCTGGATACCGCCTGGAGGGAGAGTCATGTGTAGGTAGGTATACAGTGTATATATATACAGTGCAGTAACCCTTCCAGTGTAAGAACACGATGGGGTGCTTCATCTGCTGTGAGCCTGGATACCGCCTGGAGGGAGAGTCATGTGTAGGTAGGTATACAGTGTATATACATGCAGTAACCCTTCTCAGTGTAAGAACACGATGGGGTGCTTCATCTGCTGTGAGCCTGGATACCGCCTGGAGGAGAGTCATGTGTAGGTAGGTATACAGTGTATATATATACAGTGCAGTAACCCTTCTCAGTGTAAGAACACGATGGGGTGCTTCATCTGCTGTGAGCCTGGATACCGCCTGGAGGGAGAGTCATGTGTAGGTAGGTATACAGTGTATATATATACAGTGCAGTAACCCTTCTCAGTGTAAGAACACGATGGGGTGCTTCATCTGCTGTGAGCCTGGATACCGCCTGGAGGGAGAGTCATGTGTAGGTAGGTATACAGTGTATATATATACAGTGCAGTAACCCTTCTCAGTGTAAGAACACGATGGGGTGCTTCATCTGCTGTGAGCCTGGATACTGCCTGGAGGGAGAGTCATGCGTAGGTAGGTATACAGTGTATATATATACAGTGCAGTAACCCTTCTCAGTGTAAGAACACGTGGGGTGCTTCATCTGCTGTGAGCCTGGATACCGCCTGGAGGAGAGAGTCATGTGTAGGTAGGTATACAGTGTATATATATACAGTGCAGTAACCCTTCTCAGTGTAAGAACACGATGGGGTGCTTCATCTGCTGTGAGCCTGGATACCGCCTGGAGGGAGAGTCATGTGTAGGTAGGTATACAGTGTATATATATACAGTGCAGTAACCCTTCTCAGTGTAAGAACACGATGGGGTGCTTCATCTGCTGTGAGCCTGGATACCGCCTGGAGGGAGAGTCATGTGTAGGTAGGTATACAGTGTATATATATACAGTGCAGTAACCCTTCTCAGTGTAAGAACACGATGGGGTGCTTCATCTGCTGTGAGCCTGGATACCGCCTGGAGGGAGAGTCATGTGGTAGGTAGGTATACAGTGTATATATATACAGTGCAGTAACCCTTCTCAGTGTAAGAACACGATGGGGTGCTTCATCTGCTGTGAGCCTGGATACCGCCTGGAGGGAGAGTCATGTGTAGGTAGGTATACAGTGTATATATTCCAGTGTACAGTGCAGTAACCCTTCTCAGTGTAAGAACACGATGGGGTGCTTCATCTGCTGTGAGCCTGGATACCGCCTGGAGGGAGGAGTCATGTGTAGGTAGGTATACAGTGTATATATATACAGTGCAGTAACCCTTCTCAGTGTAAGAACACGATGGGGTGCTTCATCTGCTGTGAGCCTGGATACCGCCTGGAGGGAGAGTCATGTGTAGGTAGGTATACAGTGTATATATATACAGTGCAGTAACCCTTCTCAGTGTAAGAACAATGTTGGTTCCTTCATCTGCTGTGAGCCTGGATACCGCCTGGAGGGAGAGTCATGTGTAGGTAGGTATACAGTGTATATATATACAGTGCAGTAACCCTTCTCAGTGTAAGAACACGATGGGGTGCTTCATCTGCTGTGAGCCTGGATACCGCCTGGAGGGAGAGTCATGTGTAGGTAGGTATACAGTGTATATATATACAGTGCAGTAACCCTTCTCAGTGTAAGAACACGATGGGGTGCTTCATCTGCTGTGAGCCTGGATCACCGCCTGGAGGGAGAGTCATGTGTAGGTAGGTATACAGTGTATATACATACAGTGCAGTAACCCTTCTCAGTGTAAGAACAATGTTGGTTCCTTCCATCTGCTGTGAGCCCGGATACCGCCTGGAGGAGAGTCATGTGTAGGTAGGTATACAGTGTATATATATACAGTGCAGTAACCCTTCTCAGTGTAAGAACACGATGGGGTGCTTCATCTGCTGTGAGCCTGGATACCGCCTGGAGGGAGAGTCATGTGTAGGTAGGTATACAGTGTATATATATACAGTGCAGTAACCCTTCTCAGTGTAAGAACACGATGGGGTGCTTCATCTGCTGTGAGCCTGGATTCCGCCTGGAGGGAGAGTCATGTGTAGGTAGGTATACAGTGTATATATATACAGTGCAGTAACCCATCTCAGTGTAAGAACAATGTTGGTTCCTTCATCTGCTGTGAGCCTGGATACCGCCTGGAGGGAGAGTCATGTGTAGGTAGGTATACAGTGTATATACAGTGCAGTAACCCTTCTCTCAGTGTAAGAACACGATGGGGTGCTTCATCTGCTGTGAGCCTGATACCTACAGTGTATATATATACAGAGGTGTAGAGATCATGTGTAGGTAGTGTATAGGTATACAGTGTATATACAGTGCAGTAACCCTTCTCAGTGTAAGAACACGATGGGGTGCTTCATCTGCTGTGAGCCTGGATACCGCCTGGAGGGAGAGTCATGTGTAGGTAGGTATACAGTGTATATACAGTGCAGTAACCCATCTCAGTGTAAGAACAATGTTGGTTCCTTCATCTGCTGTGAGCCTGGATACCGCCTGGAGGGAGAGTCATGTGTAGGTAGGTATACAGTGTATATACAGTGCAGTAACCCTTCTCAGTGTAAGAACACGATGGGGTGCTTCATCTGCTGTGAGCCTGGATACCGCCTGGAGGGAGAGTCATGTGTAGGTAGGTATACAGTGTATATATATACAGTGCAGTAACCCTTCTCAGTGTAAGAACACGATGGGGTGCTTCATCTGCTGTGAGCCTGGATACCGCCTGGAGGGAGAGTCATGTGTAGGTAGGTATACAGTGTATATATATACAGTGCAGTAACCCTTCTCAGTGTAAGAACACGATGGGGTGCTTCATCTGCTGTGAGCCTGGATACCGCCTGGAGGGAGAGTCATGTGTAGGTAGGTATACAGTGTATATACAGTGCAGTAACCCTTCTCAGTGTAAGAACACGATGGGGTGCTTCATCTGCTGTGAGCCTGGATACCGCCTGGAGGGAGAGTCATGTGTAGGTAGGTATACAGTGTATTTACAGTGCGGGATAGTCATCGTTGATAATGTCCAGCTTATCTCATTGTATAAAGAAGATAAGTTCAGATTTAAACTGTGAGCCAAGAATGGAAAAAACCATTTTGTGCTGCTTCCTTTTCATAGTTTTTTTATCGAGTTGTATTTTGTTCTATGAAACCTTGATTTTCTGAAAACATGTATCCATATTTTTAAAGATGGAATCTTCTCTGATCAGCAATTATTTTTGGTTTAGAGCAGTGCTTTGAGAAATCCAATGCTTCTTGGAGTTCATGTTGAAGTGGTTTGCAGTTTTGTTCCTGAACACAAATATCCAAGTGAAGTGGGTGATCAGCTAGTGGGCACCATCATTTACTACCCAGCAGCAGTAAGCTGTTCCTGACCTCACCATCCAGCCAATGACATGACACATTGATTGTTATATTCTTTAAGTGTTCATACTTTGCGGCGAGAGTGGAGAGTTCTGTGATGCTGTCAACGGTGGCTGTGACAACAACACAGATGGATACTCCTGCAGATGTAACTCAGGGTATACACTGTATACGGAGAATGGCACCATGGGGTACTACATTCCTGCTGTTGAAACCGGGCTTCAGGTTAATGACACACTTCATCTCAACCACACGTGTGTCCGTGAGTAGAAGCATACATTATGGTGCCTGTCCATCACCTCCAACAGGTGTTAACTTAAATGCTCTAGAGTAGAGCCCAATGAGGTGGACGTCTATTTGTAAATGCTGGATCCTGGGTTAAATGAGTGTTGTTTTAAATCCAAACCAGACTGAGCTTAAATGATCAAAGTATAAAAGTGTTGTGAATATTTTACTGAGTCCGCTGATTATCTGCCACACCTATGTCAGTTTCCCCACAGAGACATCTCGGGAAGCACTTTCAATCTTTTCAGTGTTGGATGGAAATCTGATAAATAGTATTAAGTCTTTAAATAAGCTCCTGGGTGTTGAGTACTCATAAACCTACCAACATCAAAATTATTTTGGTGTGGTAAGGCCTTGGTATGTCCTTTCAGCTTTCCAGGTGTATTTTCGTGTTTAATGCCCCAAAATGTTGACATTTGAAACACATATGAAAGAGCCAGTGCTTTGAATAGCGTTAGAAGAGCACACTCACATCTGAAACCACAGACTGTTCATCACCTTGATTGTCCTGCCCCTCACAGGTAACAGGTGCCCCTACCCACCCACAGATGGGTTCAGGGTTATACAGAACCCCCAGGATGTGTACCACGAGGGTGACAGTGTGATATATGACTGCTACCCTGGGTACAGCCTGCAGGGTGTGGCAGCTGTGACATGTACTGGCGGTGCGTGGACCACTGTTTTCCCAGCATGCAACGGTGAGTACACATGTGTGGCCTTGACATTAGAAACAATCACATGTATGATCTATAGAATAGGATATGGGATTAGATTAGATTTTACACAGTTAAAGATAACTGTATGTCAAATTACTAAATAATGTGATGAAGGCTGGTGACATTTCTTGCTTTGGTGAACCCAAATGGAACAACCAGTTTGTGTTATATATTCTTGGTGTGTGGGAGTATGTGAGAAGCAGAGAACACTGCTTTGAAAAGACTTCCAGTTTTATAAACCCCATTCCACCTTCAGCAGATGCTAAGATGTAAGGTATATGGATGTTATCATATCAGGTGTTATTTCTGTTTTTATTCTTCCAGTGATAACTTGCCCCTTCGATGATGTTAGTGGGTTTGCCAACCCAGTTCAGTTTGACAACACTTCACCAATAGCCTTTGGGGAAACTCTGAACATGACGTGTGATGTGTTTGGAGCCCTGACGACGCGGCAGCGTAGCGTGTGTGTGTGTACGATCACGTCACTGGCAACTACAGCCTGCAAGGCGACAGCTACGCCTGTGAAGGTAAGGGAGATAATCCAGCAGATATTTGAGATTGATATTGATTTGGTTAAATGTGAGAAATCTTAAAATTTATTTGGGAATGTATCGAAATTTGGTTTTATGCAAAAAACAAACATTTACATAAGTTGGCTCATATATAGACAAAATAACAATCTCTATTATAATGTAATTGATATTAATCTAGCAAATATGCCTAAGATATTCTGGCACTGATTGAGGTCACAATTAGAATAATGGTTTTTTAGCAACCTGCGTTTGTTGTTAGAGGCTTTCAACATGTTGTCAGAGTCACTGACTTGGTTGGTGCATGTCACTGTGTTCCTGTAGTGTGAAGAGATGACACATATGGATCACTGGATTATCTGGTCTCATTTTTTCCCAGATCAGTTATCAGGTAGTCTGAATATTCCTCAGTGTGGCATTTTTCAACAACAAAAATAAAGGTTCTACTTTTTAGCCTTAATAAAATGAATAGTGATAGTTTGACATTGAACATTTCAGTGATAACATGCCCTGCACCCCAGCTAGCTCCAAATGGAGTCCTCCAGGAAGTGGCGACTTCCTTCAATGTGTCTTGTCAGCCTTACTACATTTACCATGAGGTGGGGCTGTCTGCCAGTAACGATACCACCGTTACCTGTGGGCAGGACGGCAAGTGGGGCTACGGAGATCTGCACTGTGTTGGTGAGGGGCACAGAAATACTGTCATATTGTACCAAGAGTACTAGTATTTTGTTTATGATAATACCAGGGATACCTACTGCCCCTAGTAGTGATAACAATATGTTAGCTTAAAGCCTGGTAGTGGTAACATAGGCCAAAATAAGAACAATAATGATTTATAAATTCTTTTCCTTACTCGACATGTCATATTACAGAAAGGGTGAGGTAATTATGCACTCTCAAGACACTATTACATTTTAGGAAACTGGCAAGGGGTCTATACTGACAGAGACCATATACCGATACTGATCACTAATATGTCTCAGCTTACAGCATGTGCTTGTGAGAGGTACATACAGCGTGTAGGTCATTGTGTGTCATACATGTACTCTGTCTCTTGAGCCACTAGGGATGTTTTCAAATGCTCCCAGGAATATTTCCACAAATGCTAGAACTATGATTCTGAAACTGGTCAGTTTCCTGAGGAGGCAATGGTGATATGTCAATGGAAACACATTTACTCTTCTTCACAAGGTATTCAGCAACTGGACAGATTACTTTGATCTTGATCCAACTTATTGCAGATGTTAATTCAAATTAATGTTTAAGTAATTTTTATCTGGGTAAAATTCAGCTCAGGTTTATATTATTGAGTTTATTCACCAGTATACCTAATTACTGGTATTAAGAGACAGTATCATCACTTGTCAGTCATTGAACAGAATCCTATATTTAGAAACATTCCTGAAGCTATTGCAATGTGAAACTTGTAGCAAGTTCTCCTCTACATACAGAAATGGCCTGCAACCATCCCATCGTGCCTGTGGGGGTTGTAATCGACAGTATCAGCAACTACACCTACGACTCCAACATCACCTTCAGATGCGAGCAGGGTGGGTACCAGATCAATGGTTCATCCTTTTCCAAGTGTGTGCAGTCCGAGTTTGGAGGATCTCTCAACTGGAATGAGTCTGTGCCTACTTGCATAGGTATGTCTATATATCTTCTTCATTGCTCATCAGTTTTGAATTTAACTAAATTTAGCATACTTCTTGTGTTTTTTGTATCCTTTACTGGAAAAAAGTCGATTCAATGTTATTTCTGGCACCTGGATCTGTGAGTTTCAATACTACTCCAAACAAGTCAAGCACCAACCAATTCTCTGTTATTTCTACAGTTAATGTGTTACGTCATGACGTATTTAGTAATGCGAAAGAATTAATGGGCCTTAGCTGTTTTTAGTAATTAATTACAACATTTTCAACCTGCAGGTGCAAAAAGGAGAGAGTAATGATATTTAAAACAAAATTTTAAAACAGATTTGAGCAGGTCATAGGGATTCACAGGGTGGAAGCACTGTCCACACGAAATGTGGGGTTGCCCCAAAAGCAACTACATTTCCTCGCTGGACAGTGAAAGAAGGACACGTGGCGCAAGAGTAAAGGTAGGTTTTTCCTCGCATTTTCATTATTTTGCAAATATTTCAGGTTTTGCCATTTGGAAGACGGGTCTAGAAATTTACAGATCTTTCTGTAATTGCTTGACACCCTCTATATTTATTGCAATTGCATGTTAAGCGAGGGCACCCTCCTGAGTATCGAAACAAGATCGCGGAAAATGACCGTTTCAACACAAAATATGACATCCTCATCAGCAGACACACCTTTTTTTTGCTGTCAGTTCTTAGATATAGTGATTTTAGGTCTTCATTTACAGTTTAGGCTTTAATGCATTGTTAATTTTTCAGTTATCGTCGAAAAATCAAACTGTACAGTTTACATGGAGTTGTTTTGAAGTTGTCCTTTGCTTGGAATGTTTACGTTGAAGTAACTGTCCATGTAGTTGCATGGATTTTAGTAGCTAAGATATATAGCGTTCACATGTGAGTGAACGCTATGTATCTTAGCTAGGATTTTAGAGCATTAACTGTTGAAATCCCACAGTTTTTGACATCCTTTTCCACAGACTTGGCAATGGAAACGGTAGTTGTTGTGAAGGATCCCTTTAACATGCAGTCTGAGGCCAAATGAAGACTTGTAGAACTTGCCGCATATGTGGCAGCGGTCAAACCGAAACATGAGTCTCATGAACCAATTCAGACAATGACCTACTTTTCAGCCGATCTGAATTTTCTTGTGTGAAAGTGAAAAGAGTGAAATAGTTACACTAAATTCCAATTTCTTGTTTCATAAGAAATTGGTATTTACAAATGAACTTTAATAAAATCGTATTTCTATATTTTATGGCTAGGTTTAGGCGGCATGACATTAACTAAGACGTCACAGACTGCCCCTGTTTCATGAAGTCATAAAAAATGTTTCATAATTCATCTGGCTCACTGGTTACACCTGTTATGTGTTCTTTGCGCTTATTAAGTGTATTTTTGTAACGCACAATGTGATTGATATAATATCAAGCCCGTACAAGACCGCCAAACCTTTCTCGCAGCTGAACTTCGTTTTGAGATTTCCACGATTTCCAGATTTCCGTTTGTCAGAGAACGTTGTACGACAGAGTACAGATTAGAAGGAGAGTAGTGTCCAATATACAAGTAATTAGATGTATCAAATAATACTGATTAATATTTATATATAAAGTTGAATGAATTGGTCTAAAAATTCTGAACTGGTTATTGTACTAAGTTGCGCAATAGGACGGACCCCAGTCAGCAGGAAATGCGACTATTCTGAAATCAGTGTTTTGACTCGGTCTCCATCCTGTTTCTTCTTTTTTTGTGTGTGTGTGCTTGACTACAAACGACTGGTATTGAAGGATATATGCGACTCGTCCAGTGGTTCAAATTCATTTCCTGAAACCTTAAACATATCAAACTACCGGTAATGCATATATTAACCACAGACTATGTACAATAACAGACCTGCCTAACCCCTTTGTCTGCAAAGTGTATTCATGGTGGTTTGAAAGTGTATTTTGATGTGTCAAAAGTGTACAATCTTACTTTATAAGAAAGAAAATTTGACACATTCCTGAATGCCAGAATGGTAGTTTATCAATCAACTTCAACACAATTTTGACTGTTTTGTAAGGTCTGCAGATAAGATCGACAAGTTCATTTTCTCATTAAATTGTGCCATTTGGATTTCTCCTTTATTTTTTTTACAACTGTCATTGACTTGTCCATATTGCTGTTGGTGCCACCGGTGGGAACATTGGAAGTCATTATTCTATTTGATTTCGCACATTCAACATTGGTTAGATGTTCCTTGGTTTTCAGATGCTTAGTGATGTGCTTTACCCAAATGTGCAATACTAATATCTGAATGATAGTATGAACAATGTACATACTTTGGAATAACCTGGTCTTGGTTATTCCTGGGATAGATGTATATTTGTATATTTGTTAATACACTTCTGATCGTACATGATTTTGTAAAATGTTTGAATCCTGGCCCATATGAGCCCGATGAACGCTCAGCCATGATGCCACTGGTTGGGAAGGAATCGGATAAGATGGGTGGAAACCGGGAAAATATGAGGGAACCCAACGATAAAGACCGGAAAAATTAGCCAGTCAGGTTACTTTGTATTTTCACGACATCTACCGAAGTACTTGATCTATATCTACCATCAGTGAACATACATTACGGTCACGATTTTAAATAAATTACTTTCGGTTGTAAGCAACGAAATTGACTTGAAAGGGAGGTCACTCTTGTTTAGCCTCGTTTTCATGTCGTGTTTACGCTGGCAAGTACAGTTGAAGTGAAACGAATACATGGTTTTTTTAAACAAATTAATATGTGTTTTTATAGGTTTGCATCCAATAAATCCCAGACAGGGTACAAACTGCAATGGGGGTGTACAATCGTACTTGAAGATAAAAAATCGTAAAAACGCCAGGTAGGCAGTAACAAAACATTCTTCTTCACAACAAATATCTCTAGAATAACGTTTGATCACCTGACGGTTAAAACTATAAACTGTCAACTCCTGGACAGTAAAATCACAACGCAATGGACAGTTTGTTTGCTAAACGTGAACAACTCCATATAAAACGTTCAGATTGATTTTTTCGACGATCATTGAAAAAATACTGATGCATTAAAGCCTAAACTGCGAATGAAGACCTAAAATCACTATATCTAAGAATTGACAGCAAAAAAAAGGTGTGTCTGCTGATGAGGATGTCATATTTCGTGTTGAAACGATGATTTTCCGCGATCTTGTTTCGATACTCAGGAGGGTGCCCTCGCTTAACATACAATTTCAATAAATATAGAGGGTGTCAAGCAATTACAGAAAGATCTGTAAATTTCTAGACCCGTCTTCCAAATGGCAAAACCTGAAATACTTGCAAAATAATGAAAATGTGAGGAAAAACCTACCATTACTCTTGCGCCACGTGTCCTTCTTTCACTGTCCAGCGAGGAAATGTAGTTGCTTTTGGGGCAACTCCACATTTCGTGTGGACAGCGCTTCCACCCTGTGGGATTGATGTCTGCTTTGCAGCATGTATTTTATATTTGGCATCCAAAATTGTTAAAATATCTTCTCTTTTGAACTTTTGTTTAGGTTTTCCCAGTAAAAAATGGTTTGATATTCAGGGGATAATATTACTTCACTTCTTTTAACAAAACAAGTCAGAAAAGTACATTGTTTAATTTGATTTTAATGTGGATCTTTGTGAAATTATGTTGGTTCCTGAAGTTGTCTTGGATGAACAGTGTCCACTTGCATAAATCAGTGTTACCACAATGATGATGATATCTCCTGTACTCTAACATAGACTTGCAATAGTCATAGGTCTAGCAAAGCTTTGTGCAAAGGGACACATTACACAGGGAAAACACAAGCAGGTTGTCCCTTGAAACAAATTGAATTCCATCATGTGTATTCACTGCTCCCCAGATGTGGAGGCCCCCACCTTCATCTCCTGCCCAGTGGGTGGTGTGGTGAATGTGACCCTGTACCAGACAGACATATTCCCTGTCCCCGGGGCACTGGACAACTCTGGTGCTGTGGCAGCTGTGACGGTGTCACCCCCCTACTTCCATCCCTCCTGGGCTGTCACCAGCGACACGAATGTCACCTACACTGCCACTGACTACAGCGGCAACAGTGCCATCTGCGAGATCTCTGTCAGGATTAAAGGTAGGATGAATACTCCTGATTCTAGGTACCCGAGAGTCAAGAATCTAGATTGTATTCAGTATTTTATGAAGTATTAAATTTAGCCTCTGGTCTTAAGTACATGTGAATATAACATAAGTGTTACTATTGCAGAATGCAGAGGCCCAGATAAGGTGCGTATCCGGGTAAAATACGCATATAAAATTCCTATTACGCATTGAAAAATAATTGTTACGTACCAATTACGCATTTAAAATGTTAGATACGCAAAAAGTTTAAAACAAATGTGTATGGAATATATTTATAAACATCGCTTACGTAATGAAAAAGACATCGATTGCTATCAAGTTGTACTGTTAGTATAGGACAAGTGTTGTACTGTCAGTATAGGATGAGTGATTTTTTATGAAATCATTTCCATTATATTTAAGTTGGTTTTGATTAGGTATGACATAAGGCAGAACATACCTGCTTAGTAAACTTACTCAGTCACATAATACTTTGGTGAGTAAAATGACTGAAATACGCACATATTTGAAAGCAGTGGGTAACGGAAAATGAAATACCAACTCAACATTCATAATACCCACTCCCAAAAAATACAGTGGGTGCAGTTAAATCTTATCTGGAGCTCTGAGAATGTACACAAATACAGATGTAGGTGACCAATACACTGTGTGTAGGCGGAGTGTTCACAAATAGTGAAAGATGGGTAATTTTATGAGAGCTTCAAATCCTTTAGTTAAAGAGTTATCTCCCTTCAAGTCAATATTAAAGGTCACATAAACCCTAGGGGGTACAAATACATAAATCACTAACTGGCATCGTTATAAATGAAACCCCGTCATTAAAACTACTCATTTCGACCTTTAATTGACTTAAATCGACCTTTTTGACAACAGTGCACAATTCTCACCCGCGAACAAAATTTCAACCAATCAGAGCGGCGCGCCTCTGTGACGTCATATGAGGAATAGCTTTGAGAGCCGATGCAGAATTCATCTACATTTTAGGGGGTAAATTATCTTGTTTACAGGCTTGTATAAACCTGAAATCGTGACAATTGTTGTGGAAAATGAAAGCTATATGTTCTCACAATCTACTGTCATTTAATTTTGTCTCCTGCTTTGCCTAGTTTCCGAGTTACAACTTGTTTTCATAGGCGATTCTGTCAAAATCGATTGGTGTCGTTAGGCCTTATTTGTATAATGACTGATCCAAATTGATCCCATTTCTGTGTTGTTTTACCTCGATATTTAATCATGTCATGTAAAAATCTGTTTGTATTCTCAAAACAGTGTCGCCCATAAGTTTTCACATGCAATACAGCAATTAATACTCCCTTGTTGTAACCCGTGTTAGGTGGTATAAACCTACACATGTTATTTGTCATCATTCACTTGATGGTCAGTTAATGAATTTATAACAGGTATAATTAGTGGTAACACACTTAGATTACCGACAAAGGTTCCCATTTGGCATTTCTTGTGTCTGGAGTAAATATTCAACATTATAAACATCGATCAAAGGATTAACAGATAACACGCTGATTGATTAATTACTTTTATCTTACACAGCGGAATTGTCAAAAGGTAGTGTTTATGTATGTGGATTTACTAATCTATACTGAATACACTCTGTCGTGTCGGTGTCTCGCGCGTAAAACAACGTCCTTCTTTCAAAGGATTAACCGGCAATACATTGATTGATTGCCCATTATTGGCTAACTAAATTACTGTTTTTAATGAAAGGCGGACATTATGCAATTAGTTGCCAGGTGTGCTATCTTGGGTGACCAATGAGACTATACACCAATACCTGAAAAGTTTATCACTTTTTCGTATATCAAACTGTTAAAAGACACATCATTTGGAACAGTTTTGTGGATATTGATGGATACATTCCTCGAACAAGGTAATGGCCTGATATTGTTCCTATAATTTTAATCTGTTTTAATTTTAATATTTGCATTTTGTTTTTATTCATTTGTCGTAGCATTCAACAGAATCATTGTTTTCGCCGTGAAGTGTAATGAGACAGACAACATGCACTAGGGTGTGTGTGCGAATTATGATTCACATTGGCAAACTTTAAAATGTCTAGATATTACAGTTCTGTTATAAATTCACTATAAGTATCAGCAGATCGTCTGCTTTTTTTTTTTATCCCACCGGCATGTAATGCGGTGGGATATAGTCGTCGCCTCGGTCCGTCTGTCTGTCCGTCCGTCCGTCCGTCCGTCCGTCCGTCCGTCCGTAATCATTTTGTTTCCTGAGCATAACTCAAAGACTGTTCGATATTTTTTAACCAAAATTGGGAGATATGTCAAACATAACCTAAGGTGGTGCCTTTTGCTATTTACAGATTATTGTCATTTTTATTTTTCTCGGTTTCCATGGAAACATTTTGGACTTAGTCTTAAAGAAGGGTAGGCTTCGTTTCCGGAGCATAACTCAAGAACTGTTCAGTATTTTTTAACAAAACTTGGTAGATATATCAAACAGATCCTAAAGTGGTGCCTTTTGCTATTTACAGATTTTTGGCATTTTTATTTTTCTTGGTTTCCATGGAAACGATTCGGACTTAGTCCCAAAAGTGAGGGGTGGGCTTCGTTTCCGGAGCATAACTCAAGAACCGTTCAATATTTTTCAACAAAACTTGGTAGATATATCAAACAGATCCTAGAGTTGTGCCTTTTGCTATTTGCAGATTTTTGGCATTTTTATTTTTCCCGGTTTCCATGGAAACGATTCGGACTTAGTCCCAAAAGTGAGGGGTGGGCTTCGTTTCGGAGCACAACTTCGAAAACTTCTCAATGTCTTTCAGCAAAACTTGGCAGATATGTTAGACAGATCCCAAAGTGGTGCCTTTTGCTATTTGCAGATATTTGTGATTTATTATTTTTTTGGTTTCCATGGAAATGATTCAGACTTAGTCTCAAAAGGAAGGGGTGGGTTTCGTTTCCGGAGCATAACTCAAGAACCATTCAATATTTTTCAACAAGACTTTGTAGATATATCAAACACAACCTTAAGTGGTGCCTTTTGCTATTTGCAGATTTTTAGCATTTTTACTTTTCCCGGTTTCCATGGAAAAGATTCGGACTTAGTTGCAAAAGTGAGGGGTGGGCTTCGTTTCCGGAGCATAACTCAAGAACCGTTCAATATCTTTCAACAAAACTTGGTAGATGTATGAAACAGAACCTTAAGTGGTGCCTTTTGCTATTTGCAGATTTTTGGCATTTTTATTTTTCCCGGTTTCCATGGAAACATTTTGGACTTAGTCTCAAAAAGTAAGGAATGCTTTCGTTTCCGGAGCACAACTCAAAAACCGTATAATATTTTTCAACAAAACTTGGTAGATATATCAAACACAACCTAAAGTTGTGCCTTTTGCTATTTGCAGATTTTTGGCATTTTTATTTTCTCAGTTTCCATGGAAACAATTTGGACTTAGTCTCAAAAGGGAGGGGTAGGTTTTGTTTCCGGAGCACAATGTGAAAACTTTTTAATATCTTTCAGCAAAACTTGGCAGATATGTGAGGCAGATCCCAAAGTGATGCCTTTTGCTATTTGCAGATTTTTGTCATTTATTTTTTTCATGATTTCCATGGAAACGATTTGCACTCAGTCTAAAATCAAGCTGGACTTTAAGTAACTGTCAGATGATTTGTTCTTTCAAAGATGTGGAGGCCGGGGGGATATGTCATCTTCTGATGACTCTTGTATTTAGTTTCAAAATGCATACAAGTGTGATAATAGACTAATTAGGATTATAAGACCAAATATAAAGACGCACATTGACTAGTATCGACATACTGGTGAGTGGACATTAACCATGGGAATGTAGCAAGAAATTTATCGCGCAGTATTGTGACTTCAACCCCCACCTCGCTTCCGTGGAAGAAATCGTTATGTTATAAGTTGTGTCATGCAAAATCCGTTTGGTTATGATTCCAATATATATTTAACAACGAGTAGAAAGTAGTCTTGATTTTCTAACTTGATGAAAACAAACTATAATCTCATTAATTCTAACAGATATTTTTATTTTTAAAAATGGCGGCGCCCTGTCGGGAACATCCGCCAGTCTGAGGATAAATGGTATTTAGGTTTGTTTTCACCGAAGTTACAAAATCAAAACTACTTTCTACTGGTAGTAAATATGTATTTTATTGATGGCCAATAGGATTTTGCATGACATATAAGCATATATCATAACAATTTCTCTCGTGGCAGCGAGGTGGGTGTCAATATAATACTACTTACAATATTATTGTTACTTGACCACAACCTCACTTCCGAGGAAGAAATCGTTATGTTACAAGTTGTGTCATAGAAAATCTTTATGGTCATCAATCATATGCATATTTTACTACAACTAGTAAGTAGTTTTGATTCTTTAACTTCCGTGAAGCGATCTGAACACAAGTAAGATATCGTTTCAGTCTTCCACAACGCTCGCTTTGCACTCACAAACATAACCCATTTAGCACGAACTGCGGGGTCCTGTGGAAATCTGTGCATGGGGACACCATCGCCCGACCCCTAGGAGCAATTGGCGACAAAAAGCAACGACTTCGGCATGTCGTCGTTGATGTCGAGAAATCATCAAAATGATGAGCGTGCTACACATTTTCTATACAACTAACTGAAAATCGTTCCTCATATGACGTCACTGCAGTGCTCTGGCGACAGAGTTACGTAACCTGTCTGTGGTTTCGTTGGCGGGCGAGAGGGAAGCAGGCGACTTTTTGGCCACTTTTAATCGCTCGGTATTAATTAACCACAAGTTTTTAAAGAATAAATTTGGTGTTCCGCATAAGACTAACCACAAATCTTTCATATGTAATGGTTAAAAGAGTAACAAAAAACAAAGTTTAGTGGTTCTTTAACACATACTTATGTGAGAAGTGCAGCATACAACTACATCACAATAAGGCATTTACCAGTGCATGAATTACAGATAGTTTCTTCTGCTTAGTGATCTAACAATTGTTTGAGTATACTTTCAGGGATTCA